GAGAGAGAGAGAGAGAGAGAGAGAGAGAGAGAGAGAGAGAGAGAGAGAGAGAGAGAGAGAGAGAGAGAGAGAGTCTCATGATATAATAAGAATAGGTGTAAATGGGTTCTTAATGAAATAAGCAGCGGATCACTCTCTCGCTTAAGGAAATGGGATTTCTACCTGTGAGAAAGAAGGCAGGCATAACTTACATCAACAAATGAGTTGATCTTTGAAATGATGCGAGTGAATACTGTCGTTCGCTCTGCTTCAAAAGAGTTCCAGTGATAGAGCGACCTGAATATTACTACGGCTGCGACAGGGTGGTCTCCATCAAATCCAACATCCTCTTCCATCATCTGCAAAAGATTTGCTATATCCAGCTGTCCCACAAATATCCCAACAAATGCAATATCCCAAAAACATTCCAACAAGTCCCAAAAATATCCCAACAAATACAATGTCCCAAAAACATTCCAATGCGCCACAATGTCAAACCAATGAACTGCATGAAACTGTCTATTCTGCTGATTTTTTTTATTTTTTTTTCACTCTAATTCCGTCCTCGTGCTTTCTTGATCAGCCATCATGCTGTCACACCTTTGAAATTCCTGACCACATCACTCACGTGCGCCACTTGGCATCAGAAAGCATAATTGGGATCCGTTTTTTTTTTTTTTTTTTTTTTTTAGGGATCCGTTTTCCATACGTTCACACACAAGGCAGATGACGCTCTTGGAATCGAACATCAGACAGATACACTACCGTCCTCACCCGAATACAATGTACGGTCATTACAGCTGTATTTGGCTCACCTTTCAGTCCAGACGCAGCAGAAATGACCGTACATTCTATTTGGGGTAAGAAGGCAAGGAGATTACGATCTTCAGATCAATCTGGCAAGTACGAAAGAGATTTGTCTCCAACTTAGCATTATTCCAAAGAATCCAAACAAGTCTGCTGCTATGTCGTTGTGAGTGCACCACCAAACCAGTGAATGAACCTGGACACAATTCTGTTCCACATCTTATGCAGCCCTCTTTAATCACTTACACAAGCCAGCCAAGTGAAGATGGNCTGTTCCACATCTTATGCAGCCCTCTTTAATCACTTACACAAGCCAGCCAAGTGAAGATGGGAAAAGCCGTACAAGTACTCTCATGCCCTCACATCTTTCCAAAGAATCCAAACGAGTCTGCTGCTATGTCGCTGTGAGTGCACCACCACAAAACCAGCGAATGAACGTGGACAAGATCTGTTCCAGATCTTATGGAGCCCTCTTTAATCGCTTACACAAGCCAGCCAAGTGAAGATGGGAAAAGCCATACAAGTATTCTCCTGCCCTCCTTGCACAGCTCATTACAGCCCTGTCATCTATGCATCCAATATAGACCAGGAAGGTCATCAGGGGGCTAAACCCTTAGCAATCTGCAGCATTCCTATTCCTTCTCTATGCTTTGATAGTATTCTAACCCTTATAGCAGTTGCAGGCAGGCCTTAAACCGCCAGTACAGGCCATACATCCGCCATGGGCTGAAACGCGCGTGACAAAGGCCGCCGATGGAATTTATCAACGGTGACCCGGCCCCGACTTTTTCGGATGGGCAACGAGTTTCTTTTCAGCAAGGCTGGGGCCGCGTACTGGTGGTTTAAGCGCTACCACCATACAGTTCATACATTGTGTACTGGTGACATTCCAAGCATGCTGACATACACCATGGACAGACATGCCAGGGGAATGATACTACGAACATGCACTCTAGCAAATACATCATCCTTCAGAAACACCGGTGCCTACCTCCATCCTTGTTAGCCGAGCTCTCTCCCTCTGTCGCTTCTGATCAATACGAGAAGGCGAGGGATCCTTCACCTTCGATGGCGAACGTTCCTTTGCTCTGGAAGTCTCTCCTAAACTGAATGAAGGGGTTGCTGAATGACCTGCCAAATGGGTTCCTGCTGCCCTCGATTCCACCTGCGGGAGTGACAGAAGAAGTAACACAGCAAAAGATATCAGCTACAGTTTGACATGCACAATAAAAGATGCTAACAAAGCAGTTTGAAACTTTGAAATACACAGCAAAAGATATAAACTGTTGCCGGCTACACCAAAGCAGAAGTGACACAGACGAGAAATCAACATCAGTTGAAATCACTTGCTAAATTTCACAATCTTTGAATTCCACAACAGACGTGAGCTGAGCACAGATGGCAGACATACTTCACCACGAAGCCACTTGGCCAAATACATGCAAACATTGCAAAGAGCATGATGAAACAGCATTGCAGAGATAATCTATGACGGCAGTATAAATTCCATTTGTTTGTAAGAAATCACAAAACCGGTTGCATGTACGGAGTGGAGGTATTGCACAGAGTAATGCTTACCGGGGCTTGTTCGGACATGGTTCGGGACAGTCCTTGCTCTCCAGTTCTCTGCTGGAAAGAAGAGAGGTATTAAAACAATCAGCTCAAACCCACAGATGGCAATACATGTTGGTACTATTCTGCTAAGCTCACTTGCAAGCAAACATGCACAATCAGCTCAAACCCACAGATGGCAATACATGTTGGTACTATTCTGCTAAGCTCACTTGCAAGCAAACATGCCATATCTATAGAGCGCGCAGAAGAGCCATGCAAGTGCGTGTGTGTGTGTGTGTGTGTGTGTGTGTGTGTGTGTGTGTGTGTGTGTGTGTGTGTGTG